TATTATGACCAATCTTTTATCGTTACTGCGTCTTATATTCACGTGTTTTCATATGGAATAACTGACGATATTGAATCAGTGACACTATAAATATTCTTTTAGGATTTTTTGTAAGCAATCAAATTCGTTAAGAACTTTTCTAAAAAAAAAGTTAAATATTAAAAAATGCTATTATATATACAAATCTTTGGAACTAGCATGACTGACTAATTACACACAAGCCAACTCAAGCCATACAATAAATAAAATTACTTTATGAAACTGATCAGGACACACCAGGAAATTCACACTACTTGCAGACAAATAATTTTGTTACTAATTACAAGTGGATCGTGTGTTTGTGACACTAAATCACATGTTCGAATTAAATGATGTCATCAATTATCATGATTCGAATGTTCGGATTTTTCCGACCCGAACATTTTCACGTGATCCGAACTGCTATGGCTAGGATATTATAACTTTTGTGGCACAGATTTCTGAAATATCATGTGACTGCGCCCTGATTAAAGCACGTGACTAACTAGTGAACTTTAAATTCTAATATCGAATCAAATAATTAGCAAACCTCAAAAACAAAGCTAATTATGGGTTTGAAAACAAAGAAAAAAAGTATGATCAATACTCTGAATTCCAGTGCCCAAGAAACATTGGAGAGTGTGAGAAGTGATATCATTAAAAAATGGGGAGAAATTGCGACTGAGGGGGAGTCAGAAAGTGATGCGAGTGAGTTTTACGCGGAAAACAAAACAGAACAGGAACTTTTAAATAGAATTTCTACGTCTTCAAAATCCGTAGATCAAAGTTTCGATACGTCTAATTTTGATGACGATTCTATACATAATAATAATGATGATTATAATAATAGTAGAACCACAAAAACAGACAATAAAAAAAAGAAAAAGAAAATAGTGAAACCTTTAACAGCCGAGAAACTCGCAGCTTTTCAAAAGCAACTAGATAAGACAGGAATCGTTTATCTATCTCGTATTCCACCGTTTATGAAACCATTAAAAGTTCGTCATCTGTTGGAAAAATTCGGTAAAATCGGACATATTTATCTTGCACCAGAAGGTAAATAATTCCTGCTATTTGGGTTTCTTTATTTTCTTTTAAAATCGCAATTAACAAAATCTATTGATATATTTAGACCCAAAGATCAGATTAAGGCGCAAAAAATACGGTGGAAATAAAAAGAAAAATTATACAGAAGGATGGGTTGAATTTCTTGATAAGAAAGTGGCAAAGTCGGTTGCTGCATTATTAAATTCGAAACCAATAGGTAAGTATAACTATAATTATCATTATTATATAGTATTTTAACGGGTTTCTATTAGGCGGAAACAAAAGAAACTTTTATCATGATGATTTATGGAATATAAAATATTTACCGAAATTTAAATGGAATCATTTGACTGAACAAATAGGTATTTGCTATTATGTTTTAAAAGATGTTTGGTTACACCGCGTTAAATATTTTCTAACTTATAAATATATTAGCATACGAGAATGCCTCGAGAGCACAGAGACTCCAAGCGGAAATATCTCAAGCAAGACGAGAGAACAAGGATTATGTAAAGAAAGTTGAAAAGTCAAAGATGATCAAAAGTATGCAAGAAAAGAAACTCAAGAAACGAAAAACTACAGATGAATCTCTTGATATGAATTCTGATGATATTAATGATAATAATAAAGAAGACGAGCATGAGGTGAGAAGACTGAAAATCTCTTTATATGTAAATGAATTAAATGAGCTTATTCTCATAAAATCATTGTTATTAATTATTCATTTCAGACGATACGTCGTAAATTCAAGCAACGGAAATTAATATCTAGTGAATTGAATTTAGAGATTAAGCATGATAAAGTCTCACATGAAAATCAAAGGAATAGTAGTACTATTAGTAGTAATAATTCAACAAGAGAAATTGATCCAGAGGTAAATAAAGTTTTAGATCGAGTTTTTGGAAAATAAAATAATGAATTTGGAATAAGTCACATGACTCGTGGCAAAATGGAGTACCAAAGTGGCAGACTTTTCGTTTTTGATAGATCAGGTATCTCGTTTTTGATGGATCTGTGATACCACTAAAATTATATGTTGTTTTGATGTTTCAAAAATAAAATCACATTGTTTCTAATATTTCCAAATTTTTTGTTTGGTTTGACAATAATCTATTTGTTAATTGATTGTCATAAGGGGAGTGACATATATTACATAATTATCAAAGAGGAGAGGATCTCAAAAATCTCATCTTTCACATAATCAAAAATAATTAACCAATTGAATATAATAAAAATCTTATCTGAAAGAGGAAAAAGAGAAAGAAACTTGATATTATATAATATATGTATGTTACTTTTTTAATATAATAAATCATTTATTTTAATGTACATTTTGTTCTTTAAATACATTCAAATACTATAATACAAAAAAAATTTATTCAAAGTTTAAAAGCAAATGATAATGATAAATCTATAATATCACTAAAACTATCAAGTCTAATATTCTTGCAATTTTAATAATATAAATTTAATAATTTTAATGAAAAATTATATTTTACATTTATGATGTTCAACATTATAATTTCACATGATTTATTATATTTTAATTAAGAGTTAGAATTGAAATTAAAGTTAAAATTATTTAAAAAAAAAAGCATTTAAAGTAAAATTTTACAAGAAATATTTTTTGTTAGTATACAAAAGACAGTTTCATAGATAAACTATTAAGATAATAGTCATTTTTTAAGAGACTTCCTGTTTGTTTATATTTGTTTTGAATTTTTATATTACACATTGATCCTATAATTTAATTAATTAGATTTTGCAATCTGATTGATTAATTTAATATTAATATTTAATATCAATTATGTGATTTATAAATATTAATTTTAATAATATAAGTTTAGCAATTTTAATAATGTAAATCTAATTAATATTTTTTTAATTTTAATAATATATTTTATAAAAAATTTAGCAATTATTATATGAAAAATTTGTTTAAAAAAACATGTTATATATAAAAATAATTATATTATATTTAAGTAATATTATAATAAAAAAATATTATATTATTTTACAAAGAGTAATATAATCAATTTTTATAATAGTTATATTTTGTATTTGTTACAATTATATTATAATTATACAAATTTATTAAATCAAAATTTTTATTAATAAATAATTATATATTATATTAAATTTTATTATTATTACTATTATATAAAATTTCAAGTCTGAAATATAATAAATTTTTATAAATATTATTTATTATAATTATATTATAATATATATAGTTCTAAGATTATTATTCAAATATATCAAAATTAGTTTAATAAATAAATTTCTAAATTAGTTATATTATTATATAATGAATTTGGATCAAATATTTTATTGGATTATTTATACATAATATTATTAAATTATAAATATCTTATATCTTATTGGAAGAATATAATTATATAAAATAAATAAATAACTTAATAAGTAAACAAACAAATAAATAAATAAAAAAGTAAACAAGTAAATAAATATTGGATCAATAAAATTTAAGTAAATTAGTGAACATGAATTTGTGTATTTGTTAAATTATAATTTGAATATATATAAAAGTAATATTGTCATTATTTTCAGTATCATTGTTTATAATAATATGACAAGTGACTGTGTTCAATTGAAAGATTGAATTACTGAACTATCAAAACTTATAATTTAAATATCAAATATTAAAATAATAGGATTGAATATAACTTTAACAAGAAATTTAATGAAATAAATATAATAACTATCAAAACTTTTCTGAAGTATCAGTTAATAATAACTATATAAAAATATAAATATAAATATAATAAAATAAATATAAATGCTGCCTCTTTTAGATTAGCAACATAAAAATAAAAATAATATAATGTCTTCCTGATATTTCTCATAAACTTAAAAATAATAATATCAATAATAAATACAAATATAATATGAATAATTAACATCAGAAAATTTTTATATTTGATTATAATCAATTATTAATTATCATCGATTATTAATAATTGATTATAATCAATTGCAATTAAATATAATCGATGATTATTAAAATTGAATATAATTGATTTTTTGTTTAGAATTAGTGAATATCTATATCAATAATCATTGATTTTAATTAATTAATTATAATTGATTGTAAATAATTACAATCAATTATAAATAATTATTCTACTAATTAATTCATTTTTCACAAGCACATGTACAATATTAGAAAGCTTTTAAAATTTAATTCTTGGTATCAATTCAATAGATATTTCAAGCAATATTTTATATTATAAATATTTTATTAATATAATTATAATTGAACAAATAAATAAAAAAATTATTGCATGAAAATATATATTTAGAAGATCTGCTGTTCTAATTTAATGATCACTAAATTTATTTTGACTTTTTTTATATTTCTGATAACAATGTCTTGATTTTCTATTGTTTTTTTTTGTTCCTTAAATATTGCTTTCATTTCTTTTATTATTTTTTTTACTTCTTCTTTCATTTTTTTCATCAATGATTCATTTGATTTTTTGAACTAATAACTCGAAATATCATAACACATATTTATTATGTTTATAAGTAATAAATTATGATTTGATGAATCTGTTTTGTCTATAGCATGCAATAAATAACTATTGAGAATTGAGATTATAAAGATTTCCAATGCATTGCTCTTTCTGTATCTTGAAAATACCCTTTCAAAAACATCAATATCACTAATACCAACTTTTGTTGTTAAATAATTTTTGCACTGAACTAAAAGTGTATAACCTTTATAATTTCCAAATAAGTTCACACTATCATTCTATATAATAAGTATGAAAGATTTTATAAGTAAATGTTATCATTATCATTAAGATAAATATTTCAAAGTCAAATATAAGTTATTTATTCATGTATCTTATTCACCATAACTTCTGCTTGAAGCTTTCAAATGATAAGTATAAGAATACTTTCTTACATAAAAAGTAATAAGATAAATTTATTAAATAATAAAAAGATCTAAAGAGCTATAATACAAAACAGAGATATTTAAATATATAATTGATATTAAATGAATTACAAATAAATTAATAATAAAATAGAGAGTGATTGATTTTAAATTATTAATCTTAAAGGTGACATATCTCCAAGTTATGCTATACTTAATGAGATATGTATAAAATATAAATAATAATAAAAGATAATTAACATGAATTTAAAATAATAAATAAAAAAATAAATGAATAAAGAAAAGTAATTAAAAATAATGTGTGTCTAAATTAATAATATGATCTATATTTTACATCTAATCTATTTGGTAAAATATTAAGAAGTATTAAATATAGATTTGTATTAATTTCTAATATATTATGCAAAAAAAATAATAAATATAGCACGAAAAATCATAAACATGATACAAGAAATTACAAGAGTATATAAAAATTATTATAATTATCCTCTCTCTTAAAGTTAATATTTATATCGAATTAAGAATGCACTTTTTAAAAGCTTGAACTTTTTTCATTGCATTTTTGAGATTGTTCAAAGATTTTCAAGTAGAATTATATAAAGGATATCCAGCTCATTTTACAAGGTATTGTGATTGTTTTCTTACTATGTGCTTGTCTAAAATATTTTTAACTTTATATTTTTTTTCATTGTTTGATATAATAATAGTGATGATAGTATTGATCTATTAAATTCATCATCTTGATTATATAACTTTAGTAATGAAATATGAAAAACTGAATGCATTTTCATATTGTTTGAAAGTTCTAATTTATATACAATTGATGAAATTTTGTTGATTATATTGAATGATTCAATATATTTAGCATTTAATTTTCTTGTTGGTCTTTGTTTATTAACAAGTATATTAGTAAAGCAAGTTAATAAAAGAACTTTTTGATCAATTTCAAATTCTTCAAATTTGCAATGTTAATTTGTATATTTTTGTTGTCTATTTTGAGCTTCTATTCATGCATTTTTTGCTATTTTTATCATATTCCAGTATTCTAGAAATTCTTGAAAGGCTGTTACTTTATTATCAGTATTAATAGTGATGAGTGTGTAAAGTAATTGTTTACAATCTAATTCAAATGGAGTGTATTGGGTGGATACTTGTTTACTGTTGTTATAAGTGAATTCTATAGCAGCTAGATATTCATTCTAGTTATCTTGCTTATATGTGATAAAAATTTTAAGTATTTCTTCCAAAATTCTATTTAATCTTTCAGTTTGACTATTAGTTTATATATGAAAAGCTATCAATATAATCAATTTAGTATCCAATTAATTGAATAACAACTTCCAAAATTGATTGATAAATTTGATATCTCTATCTGAAATAATAATTTTTGGCAATTCATACAATCTAAATATTTTATTGAAGAATATTTTTGCAATGTCTGGTGCTATGGCTATAGTATATGTTGGAACAAAGTGCACTCTTTTTGTAAATTTGTCAACAAAAACAACAATAGAATCATAGTCTTGTTTGATTTTTGGTAATTGCACTATGAAATCCATTATAACTTGTTTTCATTTATTTTGAGATATTGAGAGAGGCTGTAATAATCCATTTGGTTGTTGATTACTATTTTTGTTGCATTGATATAATTTATAATTAGTGATATATTTATGGATACTTTTGTTCATCTTTAACTAATAAAATTTTTGACTGATATTAACGTATGTTTTATCAATTCCAATATATCTAGTGATTGGTGTATCATGATATTCAAATAAGATTTTTGTCTTCAAAATTTTATTATTTGGAATGATAAGTCTAGAGGTGTTCTTTAAGTAAATTTTATTATTTTTTAATTCAAAATGATAGGTTTTTGCTTGCTCTTTTGGTGTTGCTTCTTCTATATACTGCAATATCTTCAAAATTTCTTTGAAATATGTATCTTCATTATATTTCTTAATTAGTTTATCTTTACTAATTAATTTAGTGTTAATAGTACTAATATTAGTAAAATGTGTTTAATGAAATAAAGCATCTATTACTACATTATCTTTTTCAGATTTGTATTTTACATTAAAGTCATTGGCTTATAGAGT